AACTCCTGTCCCTCTTTTTTTTTTGTTTTGTTTTATAAAACTCCTGTCCCTCGAATGGATGAAGAAACAGACAAATACGTGTCAGGGACGTTATTAGGTCGACTTTGCTTTTCTGTGGTTGGATTTCTGTCTTTGGAAATTGTTCTGTATTTCTTAGTGGCGTCGATTTAAAAAACCAGGAAAGTTCCTCAAAGATCTTAAGTCAGTACGGAGGCGATAGCATCAGGCAGCAGCGAACGCGGCAGATTTGATGACTGCGCGTCCATAAATCGTATCTCTTCCTCCACCACCTTAAGGAAAGAACTCTTTAAGATAGAGATCTGGTAACAGAGGTGGTCGTTTAGGGGCAGTTAGCTCAAAGTCAAAGGGACAGTCTTGTTCTCAGCTTTTTTTCCTACCAGGTGACTTTGTGACTTGAGCTCAGCATCTCCGACTCAAAATGTTTAGGATTTAATTAATCAGAGACATATGGTAAAATCTTCAGACATATGTGTCACTGACAGTGCTGTGAAACAAACTCGCAGAAACCTGTTTTTCTTTTTGCGCTTTGGCAAAGAAACAGATGTAGGAAAAAAAACTGTCTCCAAAAACCAACATGAACCCCCTGCCACCCCCCCTTCCTGGCTAATGTGGACCCCCGCCTACTTAGTGTGTCCCACTTCCCAGTTTCACACCTTCCAGAAGCGTCTGATTAGGATTCAAGCTCCATCTGTCTCTGCTGAAAACATTAGCAGGAAGAAAAACTCAAATTAGACCTTCATCTGCCAAATTGGCTGTGTTTGCACATTAGCTGTAAATAACCAGAATTCACAGTCTTTAAGAATTATTTGATCACAAGTGGAACTGTTTCAAATCTTCGACTGAGTGAACACAAGTAAACCCACAAACACCTAAAACTGCAGCAGATATAGCAAGGTCAGAAATGTACTCTGAGAGAAATGACTGGAAACCATGTGACGTTAGCTCTGAGCCTCTCCTCCTGCCCCCGTCAGTAGAGGGCATCTCAACGCTTCGGTGAAATGGACAGTTATCTATAGCAACACCTGAGTGGAAATGTCTAAATAGATCCTTTTGTATCGAGGTCACACATATTTAAACCCTGTTAAAACAAATCAGACATGTTCTCAGACGTGTTCACCAGTGAAGAACTAAAGGGAA